GAACTCAGGCAGGCTTAGTGCTCTGACCACTGCCCTGGGGAGCTTGTTCTAGTGCTCAACCCCCCTTCTCCTGATATCCAACCTAAACCTCCCCTGATTCAGCTTCCTGCCATGTCCCCAAGTCCTGTCATTGGTCACAGGAGTGAAAAGATCAGGACCTGCCCCATCTCTTCCCCTCCTGAGGAAGCCATAGACTGCAATGAGGTCACCTCTCAGCCTCCTCTTCTCCAAATTGAATAATCCAAGTGACGTCAACTGCTCCTCATAAGTCATCCCCTCCAGGCCCTTCAGTATCCTCCTGGCTCCCATTTCAATGCAGTATTGAATCTCTAAAACTCTCACATCACATGTAATAATGTATCTTCATTTTATTGAATTAAAGTCAGAACTTGGAGGACCTACCTGCAGATTTTCTTTCTTTTTCTTTGGTTCAGTTTCTGATTCCAGCTCTCCCTTCTGGGCCACGTGGGGCTTCAGCTTTTTTCTTTTTGCTACCTTCTTTTCTTTTTTTTCCACATTCATTTTGGGCATTTTCAAATAGAACTATTCTGTAATAGAAACCACCAAACTGCAATTAGAACCTTTTATATATTAAATAGAACTTTGAATATTGACTATCAGGTTCGTATATGGCCGAAGTGACACTATAATTACACTGGTACCAGAACTGTGTGACTGCTTTACTATGAAACGTATGGCTGCACAGAACTTGGATCCATGTTGCAGAATTTTCATCATGTTCCCTTTAGGAATGATTACACTTAAGTTACTGTCCTCCCAGGCCCCATTGTGGGAGATACTTCACTGACCCTCCTGGCAGCAATTCCCCACAGCTGATGCTCGTGCTTTCTGCAGGTCATAACACCCCACATTGAACTGTTTGATCAATTGCCTCCCTCAGACAACACCAATTACACCTCTTTGTTCTCCAAACTCATTGATGTGACTGTTAGTCACCTCCCTAACACACACATATGGGCACACATGCATTCCCATGAGCAAAAAGTCAGCCTAGTTGATCACTAAACAGATGGTTCCAAACCATCAGTTCTGTTTAAACTGCAAGGGTTTCTTTGTTTGCATGTAGATTAACGTGGTAAGAATTACATCTCACAAGTCTTATCTTGCACTTTACACTGACCTAAGGGCAGCAGCAACCAGGGGCAGCAGCAAACCTGGGTCTGAAACCAGCTCTGATCTCTCAGAGAGAAAACCCGGGTTTAGCGGCTTTGATTCAACAGCTGCCCCGGCACCGTCGCTTCCCCAACACAAACATGTAACTGGGAACACGCTGGCAAAGCACCAACACCCCGCAGCCCCCGCTGGGCACGCACCGGTGCAGCACAAACCCCCCGTGTCACCGAGCCGGGCCCCCCAGGCCCTGCAGGGACAGGGACAGGGACGGCGCTGCCAGGACGGGCCCGGGGAGGCCCCGACCCGGGCGGGCGATGCTGGGGAGGGCCCCCCCCGCCTCCCCCCCCCCCC